AGGGAGAGGGAGAGGGAGAGGGAGAGGGAGAGGGAGAGGGAGAGACACGTGCTTCTTTTACACAGGTGAGTTAAGGATGGTTAATAATTAACACAGCATAGGGATGGTTTGTGGGGAACCAGGTAACCACGAGGGCTTCTGTGGTCTGTGCTTTGGTGCAGTGGGCTGTGCCCTAAGGGGTCTGGGGAAGAGGGATGACTCCCACATTCCAAGGGTGTGTTATCTTAGAAGCACAAAGACAATAGACAGGCTCACTTAAGGTAAAGACTGACCTTTGTCAAGAAAGTTGCAGTCCCAAGATGTGAACCCGCCATGACCCACTTTCAGCTAGGAACTTTTATGTTTAGGCGATTATTTGTGGTTATTTTTGGTCTCCGGGTTTGTAAGGGCCACCATGTAGGCCTCCTCTGAGCTGGTCAGGTTTAGGATATGGCCCCTTTTTCATCCACACCTATTACAATAAAAAATATTCTTGCTACTCCCACAATGTCCCTTAGTGTTCTAGTCTTATCATATTATAGGGGGGCCTATTTCTCCTTCTGGAGTGAGAGGTCCTTGAGGGCAGGGAACAGTGTTTTCTTCAAGATTCTGACCAAGCTAACAGCCGAGGGCCCAGATCACATATAATTCTTAATGTCTGCTGGGTGAATGACTCAAATTGTTTCCACATTCCAAGCACCGTCTTTTATTTAAGACCGTATGTATCCGATGCCAAAAGACAAACAAAAACAACTCTACCACAGTGAAAGAATGCAATTTCTTAGTGTCACCATAAAGCACTATAAGTTTTGGTCTATCCAGTTTGTGATCATATTAGATCGAGTAAACATGTGATGGGAGAAATATTAAGAGAACTGAGTGATATGAAAACGGAATGTGATTGATTGGAAGGACAGAATGAAATTATAGTTCTCTAGAAATGTGAGAACCAGATGACATTCCTAGGGACAGGTAGGCCACGTTTATCGGTTAGAGGGCTCCCAGAAATACATTAGATGCAAGAAGGCTTGAGAAATAGTCCACATGTGTCCCTGAAGGCAGTGAGCCAATCTGGGAGCAGGTGCCTGGAGTTAAGAAAGACCAAGCACATGGCACAAGGGGCCTCACGGACCCCAGCTAGCCTGAGCAGGCGCAGGGACTTCCAAAGCTGGCAATGGCCTTGGCTAGATGAGGCAAGCAATGGGGGCAGGGTGGGCAGGGTGGAAGGGGTTCTAAAAAATTAGACTTTGAGCAATGCCCTAATGCCAGGCGGACTTTTGAGCTTCTTAATAAAGGCACAGAGAAATGAAGTGACCTGTATAATGTGAGAGTTGGTTAAAGGCAGATAGTGACTAACTTAGATCTCTAGGCCCCGAGCTCTGTTCTCCCTTTCAATGCAGCAAGTATGCATGCAACTGAGTATATCCGGCATATGTCACTTCTGGAGCATCCCTCTACATGCTTCTGTTTCCTCCCTCCCCCTGCCTCTATTTCTGCTCCCTCTCTTCACTTAGTGCTTCCCCCAGGTCTTCTTCTAGCCCTTTTCTTACCTTTTAAGGCCCTGGTCTATGACACTTTTTGAAATTCTTTCCTAAAAACTCCAACCCACACGTCTCTTTCCTAATTCCTACTCTGCCTTTGGGCGCTTGGCTCATCTAGCTCTTTTCTCAAATTTCTGCTGTTAAACACAAAGGCACTGAATTTTATACTTTGCTCATTCATGTCTTATTCAACACTATACGCCCACTGCCTGGACACGCAAATGAAGGTTGAACAAATGGAAAAATGAAGGTGTCATCACTTACAGTGCGTCTCTGGCTGAGTACGAGAACTGCCTTTTAACACAAGACACTTTCTTTATACTCCTTTGAAAGTTCTAAGTAAAAATTTGATGACTGAGTAACACTGTGTACTAAATAGAAACATTTACTAATAAAACTATATCAGGTACACTGTGGTCTGGCATTTGCTGTAAGGCTACATATCTAATTCGATGACATCAACCTAATAAAGTCTAAGTTTATTCATCTATATTGGGATACAATTTAGGACAATTTATCAGCAGTTAATTTTCTAAATAATTACAATGAAAG